TGATGTTATAGGATAGGACATCTTTCCACTCTATTTTCGGTGTGTCTTTATCATCACCACCGTACGCCCCAAAACGACTACTTACGACCTTGCTTGATGGTTTCACGTATAGCAAAAGACTATACGTGGGACACTTACGCGTCGGACATAAGCATCAAAAACCGAACCAAGAAACAAGGAAAAAAAAACAAAAATAGGGTGAGAGAGAGAAAGGACTGATTCACCTAAAAAATCGAAAATAACAAATTAGTTCTCAAAACTCCTATCAAAAAAACCTGAAAAGAAAGACCCAAAGATCCTTGGATCCATCCGAATGGGTAGCATTTTCTCATGTTTTCATAAGTGGATCAACCCAAGTCAAAATAACCTCCTAACGCCGATATCCAAACCCCAAAGATATCTTTTATAAAATCAATTCATCTCAGACAAAAGTTAATTCGTCTCAACCAAATACTTTTCCAAGATAAGATTTAAAATCTCCTAAACTTCAAAAAGAAAATGATCTCGGGGGAAACCACCAATAATACTCACCACTAATACTCCCAAACTCATGATTTTCAAATCCATACAAAAATCAGGATCTTCAAATTGTCAATTTAATCAATAGTCTCATATATCAAATAAGCATAAAATCTCTCCATATAACCAAATAAATGCTCACGTCCAGGGTCAATACAAAGAGATGAATAACGGCTAAGGCTCTCGGCCAAGGCAACCCACAACATAAGGAGCTCACGACTGAGGCAACCAAAAGAACCACCAATGGCTACTATGTTCCTTCGACATACATAAGAGGATAAATAAGATAATTATAATTTTTGGGATGAAAAACTTGATTCATCAATAACATTCGAGCCATTCAAGCCTAGCAAGAAGAACCAAATCACACCAAACAACTTCCAATAGGCCTCACGGGTAAGGACTGCAAGAGGAGCAAATCTCAATGGTGAGCTCACGGGTAGGACCAAAGGGGGAGGCTGATTCAACCACATCACAAACCCACGGCTAGGAACCAAGCAAACATCAAACTGCGGCCTTATAAACTTCCAAACCAATCCATCAAAATCAGATAACAACTCTCGAATAAGGACAACACAACACGCCCAAAACAGGCTCTCAGATAGGAGTCAAGGCAAGCAAACCGAACCCCCGAACAAAGCCAAAAGCAAACCCTTCAAAGCCCATACATGAAGCTTAAACAGTTTTTAACCAAAACCAAAAGCCAAGCCCCAACAAAACCAACATCCCATGCCCTTTCAAGGTGAAAACCGAGCCCCAATGGAGGCTAGAAACCAAAATTTTATAAGCTACAAATGCAGTTTATGGCAATAAATCCAAACCAAGTCATCCTTGAGAAAACCGAAAACCAGCATGGGCCAAAAAATCAAGCTGCAGCTAAGGCTCAAAATCAGGCCACAATAAAAGCTAGAAAAACACCTTCATGCCTTCAAAATATCAAAACATAGGGGCACCACATGCTTCAAATAAGAACAACTGTAGAACATTTTCAAATCAATATAAAATTCTTCCTAGCATGCATTTCGAGTAAGGGAAAGCCACATGAAGCCAAAATCGAGCCCAGTAAAAGCTAAAAACCGTGCCATCCGGTAGATAAAACAAACCCGCATCAACATGTATTTCATATGAGGGGAATAACGTGAAGTAGAGAAGCATGCATAAACCTCAAAGTTAATATTTCAAGGCCTCCAAAATAAGTTCTGAGGGACTTCCAAAAATAAATATTTTTATATCCCATATAGGTTTCGAACAAATGAGGCAACTGCAGGAGCTAAAACCGAGCCCCCACATGCGTGAAAGACCAAATAAACCTTCCAATGTCTCATGTTAGATAAGAATAAATAAAAAGCTTCATGATACATATCTCAACATGCTGGCAAGAGGAGCTACCATTGTCTCAAAACCACATTCTAATATTTCTGATTTGCTTCCCATAGAAATATGCTACGATAAATGGAAACAAGTCATAGCTTCACCACTTTAAGCAAATAATCAAGACCAACTCCTAGAACATGCTCACATTTTTATCCTTCACATGCTCCTAAGGCGAATATCTCAAAATACATGAAAGTGAACTAAACTAGCATGTTGTACCATCCAACAGAGCCGTGCTCAGTGGCTCGGCAGAGAGAAAACCAAAAGGAAGCAAGGCACCGAAAAGGGGGGGGGAGAAGAGATATCTTTCTAATGCAAATGTAAAGCTCCCACAGAAATCTACCTTCTAAAAGCCTCCAAAAAGCAAAGTTCTCCACTTCCCCTCCTTAGGAAATTTTCAACAACCACAAAACCCAAAAGAAGCTCTATTTTATAGGCACAGAAGAGAAGAAAAAAAAGAATGAAACCATCCAACCTCCCCCCTGTACTCGAATCGGGTCAAAGAAGAAAAGAACACTTCCCTCTGCCTACCGCAGGCGAGGCAACCAAAGTGCCCAGGACCAAGTGGCGAGCCGAGTGGCAGGTGGGTGCATGAGTTTAGGGATTTAGGGCTTTAAAAGGAAAAAAAGGATTTGGTTTTATATAAATTAATAA